CACCTGCTATTTTAGCATTGTTTTGATTAACTTGCTTACTCTTAGAACTTACATAGGCAACTACTGAAATTGCATCCTCTCCTCGCCTTACTCAGTGCAAGTATCTGTGAGGGAGATCTCAGCTCCAGACTTCTGGCTTTAAGATCTGCTTTGATTTCATTGCAGCCCAAGACCACTGCCACCTCCACTATCCCTAAATCTTGCTCTCCCAAGTAAAGTCAAAATTCAACATAGACGAGGAAGTTCAATCCCCTCTCTACTCACAGGTACCACCATACTGGCTCACCACCACAGTAATCCTGCACGCACCAATGTAGAATCATTTCCCCCAAATTGTGACTTATGTAAAAAATGGGGGTTTACATCAAGGAATGTCATATTATGATACTGCAATGATCATGAGCATAAAAAAGTACCCACAACACTGAAATACTTTGATTACTAATAGCTTTGGTCTGAGTCATGATTTCCTATCAGCCTGTATCTCTCAGTAGTTTGCTTACTTCATTCTTAATCTGTTCTGAAATCCAGGTCCGATCAAGACAGTTCAGATACATGAAAAAACTGTACACTTTATGGTCAGGTCTTCCAGACATAACACCAAGGAAACCCATACAGCATGAATTTCTTGTAGTCTCTGTTTATGTCAAATAGCCTCTCCCTGTATCACATCCAACTAAGGATCATTGCACAATGCCACACAAATACAGCAGCTGACTAGCTGGCAATTATTGGCTCTGGCATGATGAAAATATATTTGTCCCAGAATAAGGCATCTGCATAATTAGCAAAAGCAGTTACACAAAAATAATTAGCTTGCTGAAAGCCCAAAGGAGTAAAAACTATAATTTTTGCTTCAAGAAGCTAATTATATGACAAATAACAAAACAGAGATGCACTGAGAATCATCGAGAAATCCAACACGGATTTTAACTTCAATTCTAGCTGTAAGGCTGGTGGTAGCCTAGCAACAAGCAGCATAGTTCAGGCGTGTCAAAACCTCCCTACAACTTAATGAAACACCTCAGACTACTCTGCAAACCTCCCCCACACCCAACTACGTATTTGATTCCTGCATTACTGACTGATAAAAACAAAGCCTAGCCAAAAAAAAAAATAAAAAAATCAAGCAATTCAAGATAAACTCAAAGCAGCACTAAAGGACCATGGTACAGAAAGTTAATATAAACCACATTCATTATTTTCATAGACTTAAAAATCACATTCTGCTTAGCGTTGATCCATTGGATTTATGGGATCAGAAAATGCCCTGTTATTTGAAACACCTTTTCTAGCAGACTAAGATTTCCATTTGTTTGTGACTTGCAAACCATTAGTTAAGAAATGATGAACAACTTGCAGCATACTCGCTGATCTCCGAATTACTCCTGATACCCAAATAATGCTGCTGCAATTGCTTACTTTTACTTGAATCCTCAGTGAGCTGGTAGAGGAAACTGTTATCCCAAACAGCAGCCTCGGTGCTAAGAGACCAGTTTTAGTCATCATTCGTCTTTGACCAGTTCTTTTGCCACATTTCACCATTTAAGAAGCCAGTTACTTTCCCACCTGCCGAGTTCAGCTATGTTCTGCAGTAAATCAGGTCCGACAACCACTTTCAAGTCTTGTTGTAAACAGCACAATTCCAGTGTTCCTGGGCCAGCACTAGGTTCCAAGTGACACTTCAGCCAACAGCTTGCTCTTAGTTACCCACCTGAGCTACCCACCAGAGAAGTAGAGATTCACCATATTCACCCATAAGATCACATTTAAAAAGAGTTAGAGTTGATCTTTGCTAGTGTGCTGGGAAGTCATGATATAACTTCAGTTAACCTTTATTTCAGAGGCATGCATTAGCTCTGAGCAACAAGAAGCCCTTCCCCAAAGGGTGAAGCATGTTACTTTTCAGCCAGGTCTGTTCTGCTGCTGGTACAGGCAGCAGCCCAGGACAGAAAACCCAATGCAAGCGAACTAACTCTCCTCCTTCCACAGCACCATTTTATACTGACAAGGGCTTACAGACTGAAGTCTGCATAAACATTTGTCAGTCTGCCTCCCAAAACCTCTGGGACCCTCACGCAGCCTGCACAGAGGTGGACTTAGTACATGGCAGCTACAGAGAGGTACAAACGCGAGCTTTTTAAGACAAGGCACAACTGCACCACATGGCCTGAAGTCACCTGATCCAGGCAGTGTAACACAAAGGTTATACATTAGGTTACACGTAAGGTTGAAGTGCTATGTTTGGCCAGTAGTGTTATAATTTAAAAGGGGCAGCAGTACAGTCAGAGACAGACGCCCCCATAATCAATGCTGGACTCTGCCAGACCCAGAGGATTAATAAAACTGAGACAGCTGTTTCCCAAGAAAGGCAGATCATCTGGATGAGCAATATTTACCATCATCTTTCCTGATGACTCTGACAACAGCTGAAAGTGCCACCTTTGTTCAAAAGCTCCAGGAAGTGTCAGGGACACAAATAACCTGACAAATTTGGCTTGCTTTTAGGCCATAATAAACTTGTGACTATGAGTGAAGATAAGCGTCCTCCACTGGCTTACACAACCTCAAAAAGATAAGCTGAAAGTTGCACAGAGCTGTCGACACAGTAGATACGGTGAGCATGTATGCTGTTATTTGTGCTGTGCTTGGCAGGCAAGGAAGAAGCAACAAACCAGCCTATAGGACTACAAGGAACTGAACCCTCCCCTCACACACACAAAAAGTGATATTAATAAATTATGTTCTCATTAGCTTCACAAATCAGAGCTACTTTAAAAATAACTCATGCAACTACACTTTTTTTTTTTTATTGTTAGGGAAGATTAAATGTTTCTGGCAGAACAATGGGATACCCTAACCTTTCCACACCTTGCTCTCTTTGACCCTTTAATACTCCTCCACTTCCCCCCAACTCCCTTTCCCCCAGGCTACTTTTGGTCTGTGTCCACACAGGATATTCAACAGAGGAGAAATGCTAACACACACACACTCTAAGGACTGCATCCAGACACAGTGCAAGCAAGGACAGTGAAACATCAGCAGATCATACTAAGCAGACTGGGGAACACAGGAGTACTTGTGTCAAGAAGCATAAAAAGCCTGTTGATGGAGTCAAGGACATGAGATAGTGTGTGTAAGGTCTCAGGCATTGTACCTGCAAGAACATTAAGTCTTCAAATTCACCAAAACAGTGACAGAGGAAGGGGTATTACAAGAAAAAATAATTCTAATAAAACTAGAAGATCTAATGTGCATAGATGCTTTCCTTGCATGTATTTAAAAATTTTTTTTTAAAGTTTCTATGGAATCCTTCTTTGGCAATTTTAAAACAGATGGCTTGCTTTCCTGGAAAGAGATGGTAGTAAGAATTGCCTACCCAGAACAAGTCATCCCAATTGTCCCATCTTGCTTCTTTTGATGTTTTTCATGGTGCCAGCAGCCTTGAATTACATCACACCATGCACTAGAATGTTCAGACTGGAGACCAGAGCCACTTCTCAAAAACCAAGGATTCACAAGTGATGTTTCTGGTACTGTTCAGGGATGTGTGAATGCTAAAATGATTGCATAGCTAAAACTTACACCGCAAAATAAACTAACTCTAGTTTCTTCCTCTTCATGTGTATTCTTACATGTACCCCACATATTTCAGACTAAATACTCTTCTAATCCACTGTGACATACATCATTTTCTACCAAGATCACTTTCATTCAGGCTAGGAAAAAACCCTCCGTAAACTTAGCTTAAATTTGGCTAGAGGTACATTAAGCTCCAAAAATCCTTCCCTCTCCGCCAAAAGAATAAACCCAACAGAAATCCCACCCACAGTCATCATCCCACCAAAGCGACTATGGTTAAAAAAGGCCATGTAGCAATACTTCTCACCAGAGAGTACATGTCTGCCTCCTCAAAATCCAGACCACACAATCTACATAGCGGAGTGATGCATCAAATTAACTTCCTAGTTTTGAAAGCCCATTCTGTTCCACTACTACCAAAGCAAAAGTTCTACCTTAGCCTAGCCAAATAGAAAGCAGAGAAGCTGGATCAGCACTAAGCTTGTTTCAGTTAGAGTTAGGATTTCAGAACGAACACCTGGAGGTTATAAGTCTTAAGATGTTTGCTAAGGGATTAAATATTTATCCCCCCCACCCCTTAAAAAAAAAAAAGTACAAGGACATTTGTTTCTCAACTGCACCTTTTTGCCACTGTAAGCCTCATGTACCAATACATTATGCAAAAGCATAATTTTAACCCATTCCACCACAGAGGAACCTGCACTAAGTCTTCGTCTTCCCAAACATACAAGAGAATACCACACCACATTTCTGAATAATCCAAAATACAACTTCAGACTTTTCAAATAAGTCAATTTTATTAGGTCCTGCAAGAATAAAGTTCACTGTATTTTAAAAATTGATTTGGCAAGAAGAATGGTGCCTAGAAGTGAAAAAGGTATTTTTTCTCATTTGAAAGAGCAGAGACACCTCTGTTCTCTTGGTTTCTGAGTGCATGGTGGGAAAGACTGGGGACATCGCCTCTCCTGCTCTTGGCCTTGCGGAGTGTGGGGGCTTGATAGGAACCCACAGCACTGAACCCATGTTCTTCATCTCTGCTCTACCCAGCTGTTGGCAGAAAAATTAATTCCCTCACCAAGAGTTCTCTCAAAACTCTATTACTAAAAAATGAGTGATACTTAATTAAAAATACTTTCTAGCTCATAAGCTTATCTTTAAGAAAAGCAGTAATAAACACTTGTTTTTTAAATCAGCAAGCTACTAGCCTCAGACAAGGAGCATTCTCCTTCCAATACTACTATGAAGACAGAGCAGGTTAACTGAACATCAATTTTATGTGTTGCAAAACCTATGTATATATTTCTGATCACCCATACTTTTCTCCCTTAACAGAATGATTGTTCCGTGCCCACATCCATTTGAACGCCTCACCAACTGAAAACTGCTTAAAACAAGAAAATGCGAATACTCCTACTCACCACTTGAACTCTGGATCATGTTTCCAGATTTTTGGACCTCATCGAATTTTGTAAAAATTACATTCAACCTGTTGGAAAGGTAAAGAAATACACAATGAAAGATGAATTTAATCTTTAGGAATCTCTTCATTTAAGATGCTATAGGACAAATTTTGCTTAACTCAGGTCATTGGGAGCACTGTCCAAAATGTCACTGTAGAAGAAAGTTACTTGAAAAATAAAAGTATCACAGCATGCAACAGCAGATAAGAGAAACTGAGAAACAACTGAATCTACAGAGGTGTAAGATACAAATGGAAATACTATAATACTGAAGACATAACATGTCTAATTCTAGATGTATTTCCAGTTCATTATTACTTCACCTATCTTAAATATTTGCAGAAATACCACAAAACCCACTCCTAAAAAAACAACTTCACCCAACATTTATCTTTGGCCCTGATGCTTCTCTCATTTGTGTCACAGGCCTGGTGGAGCAGAAGATCCTTATCACATCTCATTAATCCTTCCCAGAGAATTTATTGCTTTCAGCCACATTGTGGCAGCAGGTATTTTCACTGGAGAACAAAGGCAACAGTACTGGCTACCCTCGCGTACACCCCGCCTCTGAAATAACCTCTTGCCTCCTCCCTCTGTGCATTGACACACTGCCATCTTCTCCATCCTCAGGTCTAACCACACTCCACCCTGTGCACTGGAGGTTTTTGCAAAACACGGAGCAACTTCTTACTGCACCTGAAGTGGCAGACACAGAGGAACAGGGCTTGGGTTTTGGGGTGGGGGAATTAGGGTGTTTTTTTTGTTTGGTGCGGTCTGTTGGGGGTTTTGAAGAGACAGGTTTTTTGGGTTTTGGTTTGTTTTGATTTTTAATAAAGCCTTGGAACTGATGATATTGACTGTATTGGTTTTCCGTCTTCTAAATTACATAAATGCAGGCTACTCTGAAGAGTCCCCTCTACACACGCAGAACATCCAGAAAAAATCATCACATTAAATCTTAAATCAGTTAACTACACATCTGTTATGTTACTGGTTTTCCAAAGATGCTGTGGCATCCGTGGCCAAAGGTAAGGACCTACATTAAGGGAAACCTGAGTGTATGATATAAAAAAAACACATACAAAACAACCCTGATCCCAGGAAAAGGTTCAGTCATGCAGCTCCTGAAGCCTTTTAAAAGAAGGAAGGGAATAAAAAGCAGCCCCAAAATAGTGAAGACATAAGGATATTACAGCTTACCGAGACTGGGGTAATCCTTTTTTACTGAGATCAGCCCTTACACGTTCACCAACATGTCTGTATATTTCCACAAGGCTGTTTATTGCTGCATCTCGAACCTGAATGCGAGACATGAGAGAAATCAACCATCTCCGTAATTTAGATAAATCCTTGTCCTACCTTGGAGGAAGAAATTTGCATATTTCTCAACAACAGTTGCCAATATAGCCATTAGCACAGTGTTCAGGAAGGAGCTTCCATCCCTGCATTTCAGATATTAGCAGTATCAAGAGGTCTAATTTAAATGAAATGGCAGTCAAGACATAAGATGAAAAGTTTCATACACAGGGATACACACAGGGAGCTCGCCTGCCTCTGCCAATACTCCACACGTCGTATTCAACAGATGTATTTACTAGATCAAAAAAGCAAGGACACACATACAAATAGACCTTATATTGCTAGTATGTTATAAAAGAAACCAATTTTTAATGCCACTTTATAAATGTATGTTTCTGTGTTAACAAAATACGAAGGGAGGCGTAATCAATCACCATGAATTTTGCATGTTTTCTAAACTGATTTGCAAGAAATCGCTGAGCACATCACCCAACAGAAGAGCCACAATGTGATTAAAGTGTCACCTTTCAGACTGAACCCGCTTTCTCCATCAGGCAGAGAAGGTATCTGCTTTGCCTACAGAAATACCTACAAAGCCATGCATTTCTGCTTCTTAGAAGATGGCCTGGCATTACCAAAGCACCAGCACACATCAGGACTAGACACAGGATATTTCGTGGGCAAAAGCTAGAATCGCCTACAGGCAAGAGTCAAAGGGCAGGTAGATATACACATAGGTGCCCTGTTTCCTAGACAAAAAAAAACAAAACCCTTGACTTGCGCTCATCTCACCCCGCTGTGCTCCACAGCCTTGCCATTCAGCAGGTCACTGCCAGTTCCCAAACCCCTGCCTTCACTCATACCAGCCCTTAACTTGATAGTCTTGCCTCTCTTCTTTTTGCCCACCAGCCCCATATGCAACCAGGCAGGACTTCTGGGCACAACTCAATAAAGACTCTCTGATGTCCCCCAGTTTCTGGGTATACAGACCCTAACCCAGCCTTGCTCTGCCTCCAACAATCAGGGAGAAGTAACAGTGTGTGAGTGACATCTCACACACCTGAAGTGAGTCCCCCTGCCCTGGGGCCCATGCCCACACATCAGCAGCAGAGGCATGGCTGCATGATCTGGAAGGACTGTGTATAAAGTTAATCAGAGGTACAGTTTCAGGACTGGGTAAACCCCACACTGGGTAAGGCAGGGAGCCACTACTATCACACTGGGTTTAGTCGACAACAGCAATAACAAAGTTTCACTCAAAAAATAAAATTGAGCATTAACCAATCATAGTTTAAATACTGTTGTCATACCAGATGCTAGTAGAAAACAACTACTCTTTCTGAAAAGAGCAGCAACAGAACAGCTTCCATGTCCACAACAAAAGGGAAAACTGCGTTTCACCCGGATATGTGGTTTTCCATCATTTCTCACCAAGAGAGGGCAGCATTGACCTAGCACCAGGTTCCCCAGCCACAGAAGGCACCAGCAGCACAGAAGCAGCCCTAGGGGAGCCCAGGACAGGTGCTGCTCAACCAGGAGACACTTTGACAGCCATTTGTCTGATCAGTTCAGGCATGGGTTTTCTGGGGATGAGGAACCAAACCCAGGAGAAGGTCCAAGAGATCAGCCCCATTTCCCCCTGCAGCTGGATACTGGGATAATGAGCTATGTCAGGCACATAGAAGAGGCACCGCAGAAGCAAAACGTGTCAGTGCCCTCACCAACTTTCTGATTCATTTACTAGCTCACCAACGGCAGGACCAAGGTGTGTGTCTGTGCCACAAGTACCCCCCCACCACCTTGAAGAATAAGAGCTTGCTCAGTCACAACTCAAAACTACAAAAGACCCTGAACATCAAAGTTTCTCAGAAACTTCTTGTGGTAACAGGTTTATCCTCCTGCATTGGCACAACCAGCAAAGGAAGGCTGCTTCACATTCAGTCCTCCTCTTCATCAAAGGGAGGCCCCAACAGCCATGGGACTACAGCTAACTCCCTGAACAATGCAAACCCATTCTCCAGTTGGCCACCCCATGCTTCTTTCCAGCTAAACACACCAGACCTGGATCACATGTCACCCATGCTGGGAAGGTAACAGGAAAAAAAACCTGCTAATATACACTGTACGACAAGTTTATACCCTGCTTTCCCTCCTTTTCCCCACCTTCTCACTAACACTTGAATCTAGTTTCAGGTCAGGTCCTGTCCAGGGCAGGACAAAAAGCATACAGAAGTGACAGACACCTTCCAACATGTATTTTCCTTTAGCTTGCATTGCTGATTTAGGATTCCAGTAAATCTTGCTTTCCTTCCACCCCTTATTCAGAATCTTCCTGTACAACTTCTGGCAGTACACCTAGCCAGGCTGTCCAACTGGTCTTATCTGCCCTCCCTGCCCAGACTGGTTCATCTCTGAAGATGAAGGATGCTGCACTAAGCCCAGAGGGTTTCCTGCAGCCTCACCTGCATTCAGACTGTAAATCACAGCAGTTCCCTTCCCACAAAGGTTTCCTGCTCTGTTTATATCATGTACAGATTCATGTTGTTCTTTTGAACTCTGTGCTGGTTTAGGCAACACTTCACTTCAGAAAGGGCTCTTCAAAAAGGGCTCTTCATGAACAGCATTGTTCAGAGCTCACCACCAGCAGCACAATTAGCTAATTTACCAGGCAGAACACAGAGCTCTGCTTACCAACAAGGCAATCAGCACAACCTTTAGATATGACTCACACCAAAGGCTTACCTGGCTGTTTGGATCTCCAAGTAAGTTACATATATGTGGCACTATCTTACTCAGTGTTAAACTCTGAGCTCCAGATCTGGGAATAAAGAACAAGAGAGCACTGGTGTGAATCACAGACCAGGCTTGCGTACATAATACAGGTTTGCAGGAAGTTCCGACTTACGCATTGAGCGTTGCAATAAGGCAGAGGCAAATCCCTTCTCTTGTCCGGAAATTCTTGTGTTTGAATCCTCCTAGCATCCTGTCCCACACGTACTGTGGAAGACCCAAAATGAGGTGAGACAGGAAGGGAAGGAGGCGGGAAAGACAGATTCTTTCTTCCAGCAGATATATACCATGACACCTCTGGAGCTTAAACATAAGCTTTACACCCATCCAAGCAGAACAGGACAAGAACTTGGAAGACAGTTTTAGATCTGTCATTCTCTGTTCTGTGCTGACTTCACCGTAATTCCCCACTAGTTAAAACAGTACTTTTAGTTACTGAAAGCAAGTACCTTCCAAAGACCCAGAACTACTACTCTGACATCCACTCATCTCATCCTTGGGAAATCCACTGACATTCCCATGTGTATCCTGACATGCAACAGCATTCCCAAGAGATGCAAATATCTCAAAACAAGGTGTAGGGAGATGAAGCCACTTCAGACAGAGCCACAGGAGGAAACCCTCTGACAGAAAAGTTCTCCGTTTTAAGCAGCCAGTCACTCACTCACTGCAAAAGGCTATCAAGCATACCTGAGGGTTAGCAGCTTGTTCCATGATTTTCAGCAGCAAGGTCTGATCCTGCTCCCTCACTGAGTCTTTAGAGTCTCCCAGCCTATCAAGTAAACTTGGCAGCACTGAGGAAAGAAAAACATGAACATCCAAATCCCTCCAAAGAAAACTCACAGTGGCACAGCCCCTCTGCTCTCTCTCCACCTGGATGGAGAGACCAGCCCTCCCACCCTTCAGCAGAGCCTGAAACCACCAAGAGCCTCCCAAGTGCTCTTGTGGAGAGAAAGCCACTTTTGTATACAGCAGCCACAGCAGATCCCAAAAGAGCAATGGTGACATCCCCCCTCCCCATGCACACACAGAGCCCTTACCTGTGCCAATTTGGGCCTTGAAGCGATCTTGCAAGCGGGATACTAATGCAGAAATTATGTCAATCCCCAGAAGAACCACCTGCAAGCACAGGACAGGTGGTGTTATAGCGTACAGCACTTTGCCCCTGGCCTCAGTCAACACACCCAAGAGACGGGAGTGCTGGCACATGCTCCCCTGGGAGTAGGGCCCCTTCCCATCCATGCTACCAGCACTGCTCAGATACCAGCATTGTACAGGTACACACAGCTCTTCTTTTCATGGCTTCTGACAGACAAACAAGTGTCTTGCAAACAGAAAAGTCCCCAAATCATTGTTCCCTGTGACATATACTAGCCAAAATTCACCACCAAGAACTTGACAAAGCCAACAACTGTAATTGCCACTCAATGCTAAATTCATACATATGCGCAACAGACACATAAAATATGCATAACGATTTCAATACTTGCTGTAGCCAACATTTCTAGCTAATTGTAACTATTGTACTTATTGTAATTATAATTAGAAAATGATGTGCACTAACAGCTGGTTAATTACTGACTTGCAGAAATTAAACCTAACACTTTCATGACCCAACTGAAGCCAAGGAAAAAGCACCTTGTGTGAAAAAAGCGTCAGGACAGGTTGCAGATCAGAAAAAAACACTCTGATCAGCACAATTTAATAGCTACAGAAAAAAAAAAATACATCGCATACTAAATGTACTGTGTCACCTATATACTAAATACTTGGCAAGACCCTGCAGACTGCGATAGTTCTGGTATGAGCCATCTATAAGTCTTTAGAGTGAAGCACAGAAGTTTGTAATCCACAGAAATGCAACGGCCGCCCAGACTCCTGCGGCAGCGCTGCCAGGGCTGCACAGCGCAGCCCCGCTCCCTGCGGGTCCTGTACCTTCCATTCATACGCCCGGCACTGCCGGGCAGCCGGCAGGGGACGCGCTTCGCCTCAGCCCGGCATGGCTGGCCAGCCCCTTATGCAAATATCACCCGGGTGGCGCTGAGCACTCTGGGTAGCGCCCCACAGCCGACAAAACGGCTTTCACCGGGGCCGGAGGCGCGTTGGCAGCGCCGCTCTCCGTGCCACAACGAGAGGATCGCTGCCCAGGGCCGGGCGGCGGGGGAGCGAGTCTGGCGGCGCGCCGCCCCTCGCCCTGACCTGGGGCGCGGTCAGCTTTCCTCTGCAGGGAGGCGCGCCGGGGCTGCCGCTTAACCGTCCTTATCTGGGGGTTGCGTGGCTGCCCAATGAGCGGATGGCGAGGGCAGCACTGCTAACGCCTTGAGCAACACAATAGCGCCCGCCCCGTGCGTGGCGCAATTTTTGGAACCTCGCACCGCGGCTTGTGCCCGGCGCGTTCACTACAACCGCCGCTTCTACGGCTCTCGCTGCAGCGAGTCGCGGTCTCTCGTGGCGCGGGTTGGTGGTTTGCCTCAGCTGCGCTCTACCCACGCAGTAGGGCTCGGCTGCAAGCGGCGGTGTTCCCTGTGCTTTTCTTTCTCCTCCTTCGCCCCCCCCCCCCCCCCCCAAGCTTTTCTCCCCCCGGCTGGAGCTACATGGCTGCTGCCCCCCGTGCATCTCTAACCCAAGCTTCAGGTCGCCTCAGAGATTCGCTCCAAATTCAGCAAGGGAGCTCTGAACAGTGCAAAAGGAACAGCCTACTCCAGTGCACTGAAAAGAAACTTCTCAAACACGAGCCCCTAACATATCCCTTCACCCTCTACACACAGATCCCACAGTTTTCTCCCATCAGACAGATCCTTCAACCATGTGATTTTTTTCCTTTTTTTTGTAATTCAGCATCATTAGTAGAATGCTATCAAAATCTAGAATCTACCTGTATATGCCAGGGGAGAGTTTTCCTCATGCTGTTATAAGCTATGTCACATTTCCACGTTCACCTTGCACAAACAGATTTAGTCTACCCTTATCGAATGCTCATCAGGTGCCTAAAGCCCAGTCACTACCCGCTCAGCTCCTACCGGCTAGGGTATGGCAGCACAGCCCAGGCAAGGGAATGCCTCTCATCAGCCGAGAGATGCTTCTAAGGAAAGCCACTGGGACTCAGAATGCCAGTCATTACTCATGGCTGTCAGACCAGGGTCCCACCACACCAGCACCCTGCACAAAGACTTAAGTCTGCTGCTTGCAATTCTGGACGTGTGCCCCGGGGATAAATCTGATCCCTGGAGAAGGGTATCTCTTCTCCAAACTGCCTGCAAACCAGAAAGAGCAAGGGGAACTCATCGGTGAAACATGAAGGAAACACAAGCACAGTGTAAACATAGCCAGCTATCCCTGCAGGATCAGACCGGGAGCATGAGCTAAGCCTCCCAAGACTTACGGCTTTTGTGCTCATAGAAATGGAGAGCTAATTAACACAGTGACTATAGTGTGCTTGGACAGCTACTGAGGAAGCAACCACTGGGGTTGACCAGGTATTATTCCCTACCATAATGGATTCATTATCAACCCCAGTGTGCCCACCTGCCTCTAACTGCTGGAGGTTGAAAACCTGTCTGGACTGACAGATCCAACAGATCCATTAGATAACAGAAAACCCAGGGCATGACTGGCAATTGAATTCCAGCCCTTGTTGCATTGGACTCACTGCACTGCAGAGCCCACCTCAGTTTATCATTGAGGCAGTTCCTCAAGCTCTGCCTGAACTACCACACACCAATGACCAGGAGGAACCTCAGGAGTAGGGATGCTGTCACACAGGGCCAGAGCAGCGATGGGCCCTGTGAGCAGCCACCCACTGCTGTGATCTCACAGCACAGCCCTCCCCAGGAAGCCAACCACAGGCACTGCTCCACACTAAGACACAGGAAGGGCAGCTCTGCATCCAAAATCTCAGGCAACACTGCAGTGCCAGTAACTATGGAGCTATTCCAAGCCTTTACATCAGCACAGGTCTTGCTCCAGTCAAGGCAGGACTACAACTCACCAGTATCTCTAGTAGCACAGAGGCCTCCAGCCCTCAGCTGAGAAAATACCAGGTTAGCAGTTGCTGCTTTCAGCCCCCCACTTTATACAGGCTCAAGAAATTGAGACCTCAGTCCTCCCAAACCCACTGCAGAAAAACAACAGCATGAGGGTTCCAGGTCTGCAGCTCTGCTGCTTAGCTTATTTGACTCCTGAGGTTTCCCAAGACAGCCAATAGAGCAATTTGCGCCATCCAGATTCAGCTCAATTGGCATCTGCTGCTACTTTGTAATGTCTCAGAGTACTTTCAGTACTGTCAGCATGACCACCTCCTACCTCCCTCCAACTACCAGGTCTCAAAGCACCATTATTCACAGTAAAGGCGGCTGTTACTTCCCAAGATGCAACATAATTATTTTCTATACTGGGAAAGGTTAAGAGGTCATCAAAAACTTATTTCAAAGAACTCAAAGCATCCATCCTTTTTAATACCTGGGTGGTGTTGAAAGGCCTGCAGGCAGCACCACGTATCAGAGAGCAGATAGCCTACCATCATCTGCTCTAACACTAAATGCTCACCCAGCACAGCAGACAAACACATCCAACACAGTGTAAAACAAGACACACCTAAATGCACTCCCATAGAAGGGTGAGAAGACAGCTGCAGGATCTCACACCAGCTGATCCAGTACAAGGTGCCCAGAGTGAACCACAGCCTCAAGCTCCCTGGACAGCCTGCACCAGCATGGCTGCTCCAGCCTGCAGTGGGGAAGAGGTGACTGCACTCTCTGCACCATGCCACATGAGGCAGAGAAGTGGTGGTTGTTGTACCTATATCCCACATCTCTTGCAGGGAATCAGCGATGGGCTGAGCAGCACATCCCTGGCTGCTGGCTTCCACACCTGGCAGCTGGGACCTGAAGGGGAATGCCAGAAATATAGTTTTACTCCACTTGCTTACGTGCTCAATTTTCTCATCTCCAACACTGGTGACACACAGCTTGGCTATTTCACTTTGGAGTCTGTCAGGGGTTTCTGGGAGGAAGGGGGAGAGGTGGATGACAGGCTTCTCATTCTCAATGAGAAAAAAAAAGATAATCCAACCAGATATTTTTGAACACTTGCTTAGATAATCTTTTGGATTCATAAACAAAGACATGGATAAACACTTGCATACTTTAAATAACTTACTATATTTGTGAAAAAGGAGAACCCATCAGATTACACACCATGAAGCCCAAGGCAAGGATTAATGCCCCACCACTGCCTGATGACTAGAGCTGACCAGTCAGACAGGGAGCATTTCTAATTCCTCAGAACCTCAAACATCCACCACAACTGGACACCCAAGACCAAACAAAAGCCAAAGTTAACTGACATTTACAAATTTAGTTTTGAAGTCAGGGGCATGTTTTGGGTCAGCACAGCTGGCAGAGTATTCCATCTGCTGTATTCCATCTGTACATCAGCATAACCACACTGGAGGAGTCCATCTCCTTCTGCCATTGCAGCAGTTAACATTTCATGTTCCAAGGCAAGATTACATCGATACTGGCAACATGAGCACATCACCCCAGCCCAGCGATCCCAGTATAACTCATATGTGTGTCTGAGCTGTACAACGCAATTTGCAAACCCAACACTAGTGAACAGGAAGACAGCAACACTAGCACAGCTGGTTTTACTGGTATGGCTACAAGCTGTGGTCAAAGAGCTGAACAAGGGGAAGGTTTGAAATAGTTATTCCTGGGCTCATTCTTCAGATCCATGAGATACCATACACTGTCACAGACACCACCTTCAAAATCCACAACCAGTTTGGGATGCTGGGCTGTTCATTTGTCATTCAATACAACAATGCCTCAACCATGCGGCTTGGTTTGGATATGCAAGTTTTCCCATGGACCGCAGTCTCTTAAGAGTGGCTTCCTGGAGGAAAAATGCCCTCTCATCATCTACAGAGACAGATTTCTAAGTCTCTGAAATTTAGAAAATTTAACTAATGTGGGAATTTAAATTTCTGAGCAAAGCAATCTTACAGCAACTTTTCTTCTGTTTTAAGATACTGATGAGACACCAGACATCTGGTTTAGATTTAGAAGAATGAGGAAAAGAGCTGCAGAAACCTTTTACAGGGTTTTCCTGTCCTCCTA